ATTTTCTTGTTGAGACTAGTTCTATTTCGTTCTTTTGTTTTTCCGTATCTTGTCAGTGCTCACTTTCTTCTTAGCTTTGTATATGCACAAGAGGCTTAATTGCTCTAAGCCTTTGGTGTCCATAGACCTCGAGCTAGAGCTTACTCTGGCCCAATTGAGGAGACAAGAAAGGGAGAGAGGTGAAGACACACTTCAAGAGGAAGTGAGAAGTTCCCCTACCCCATCTTCACCCACTTCAAGTGAGGAGGGTGAACAATCCACAAGCTCAATTCCCAACCCATTTGCCAATAACCATAATTAACAAAGCATGGGTGATCAAGGAAACATGGGTGATCAAAGGTCACTAAAGCAACTTGGAGCGCCCGAACCATATGCCTCTCAAAGTGGGATCTTAGCCCCCAACACTCAAGAAAACAATTTCGAGATAAAGCCTAATTTCATTTCAATGATAGAGAAGAGGCAATTTACCGGTGGTAAGTTTGAGAACCCACATGAGTATCTCAAAGAATTTCTCAAGTATTGTGACACTATCAAGATCAACGGAGTATCCCAAGAGTACATCCGGTTGAAAATGTTTCCATTCTCTCTTACGGGAGTGGCCGAGCATTGGCTGAACAATGATGTGCCCCCCGGTTCTCTTACAACATGGAATGAGGTTACTACGGCATTTTTGGGAAGGTTCTATAATCATAAGAAAACTGCCGAAGCTCGTTCTAAGATTCAAAGCTTTCGTCAACAGGAGGCGAGTCTCTATGTGAGGCTTGGGAAAGGTACAAGGATCTTCAAAGACAATGCCCTCATCATGGAATTCCCAACTACTAAATCCTTCAAACTTTCTACGGAGGCCTCTCACCCCAAAGCAAGACAAGTTTAGATGCCAGGGCCGGTGGTCCTATTATGAACAAGAGAGAGGATGAAGTTGAAAGCATAATAGAAGATGTAGTCCGGAATTATGAGGATTGGTACAAAGGTGAGAGAGAAGCCACTTCAAGCAAAGGAACGGTACAATCTGTCGAGCAAACCAATGCCATCACAAATATTTCCAACCAAATGGCAAAGATGACAAAACAAATGGAGGAGTTCATGAAATCAAGTTCTCAAAATACTTCTTCCCCTTCTCCCAAGGGAGGCCATGGTATGAATCCTTCTAATTCTTCTCCCTTTATTTACAATGCTATGCCTCCCGGTTGTATGTTTTGTGATATATGTGGAAACTATGATCATAATTCTCAACAATGCATGTCCATTAATGAATATCAAAACCCTTCCCAAGAAAATGATGATAATGTTGAACATGTGAATGCTATGAATTTTGCTCCCCAAATGGGAAATTCGGGAATGAGGCCCAACATGAACCGTGGTTGGAATCAAAATTGGAACCAAGGAGGTGGTGGTTTTGATAACCAAAACCATGTTAGGGGAGGCCCTTCCAACTTCAATGGAAGAGGATACCCTAACCAAAGAGGTTTTGGAAGCCAAAACCAACACCCCAATCACTGTGACAATCAAAACCAAGGTTTTGGTGGCCAAAGTAACATGGGGTACAATCAACAAAAATACAACTCCAACCATGGCGCTGGGGGATATAGACCTCAAAATGCTTATACTTTCTCACAAAATAATAGACGCCCCGGTTTTAACCAAGTAAGGCCCCATTCTCAAATTCCCCATACTCAACCTCTCCATATAGAAGCCCCTCCGGATTCTATGATGACTATACTTCAAAATTTCATTAAAAATCAAGAAAACATTAATAAGAGTCAAGAGGAAGAAAAGAAACAAATCAAGGGACACATGAAAATGCTTGAGACCCAAATCTCTCAAATTGCCCAACCAAGTTCTTCATCCTCCTCTTCTTCCTCTTCTTCTTTACCTAGCCAAGGTGTCAACCCCAAACCTATGTATGCCATTACTACTAGAAGTGGGAAGGTCCTTGAGAGTGATTTAAATGTTGAGAAGAGTTCCGATGTAGGGATAGGACTTGAGGTTGAGGATGAGTCATCAAGAGAGAGTGAGATCCTTGAAGGATGTGCCAAAGAGAATGAGATGGGTGAGAAAGAGAAAGAGAAGGAACCCGAAAAGGAGAGCATCAAAGATAAAACACCTTTACCCCTTAATCTCCAACCTAGGAATGAGAGGTTGCCTTTTCCCCAAATATTTGCTAGGTCTAGGCTTGATGTCCAATTCGGAAAATTTTTGGATGTAGTAAAGAGCTTGCATGTTTCTATACCCTTTTTGGATGCTATGAAAGAGATGCCTCACTACTCTAAATTCCTAAAAGACCTTTTGAATGGAAGGAGAGAAGTTGAAACCGTTAGCCTAACCACAAATTGTTGTGCTATTCTCTCTAGTAAGCTACCAACCAAATTGCAAGATCCCGATAGTTTTTCCATCCCGTGTTCTATCAATGAGGTTCATTTGGGGAAGGCTTTGTGTGATCTAGGTGCTAGTGTGAGTTTAATTCCCTTCTCGTTCTACCAAAAGCTTAATGTGGGAAGTCTTTCACCTACAAACATCACCCTCCAACTTGCGGATAGGTCAACAAAATTGCCTATAGGGAAGGTAGAGGACATGCCCCTTAGAGTTGGTAAGGTCACTTTTCTGGTGGACTTTTATGTTCTTGAGATGGATGAAGATGAAAGAACTCCTATAATATTGGGTAGGCCATTTCTAGCTACTTCTAAAGAAATTATTGATGTCAAAGAAGGTAAGATGACGTTGAAGGTTGACAATGATTCTATTGAATTTGATTTGAATAAGGTAATGAGACAACCTTCCTCTAGCAATGAATGCTTTAGAATAGATACAATTGAAAATTTGATGAATGAGTTTAGATACCCTCATATGCATGCTTCTAATGATCTACTTGAGAATGTTTGTTGAATGAGAATGAAGTAGGTGATCAAAAGGAGATGCAATTATATGAGGAAATGCTTGATGAGAAAGAGGAAACAACCACCGACCAAGAGATGCTCCAAACATATGAAGTCTTCCAAGTAGAAGAGGAGGAGATCTCCAATGGTAATGGAGCTCCGAAGGTAGAATTAAAACCTCTACCTTCGGGCTTGAGGTATGTCTTTTTGGATGCTAATGAGACTTCCCCGATCATTGTCAATGCTAACCTCATGGAAGAGTAAACCCCCTCATTGCTTAATGTTTTGAAAAAGCATAGGAAGGCTTTGGGTTATACTCTTGATGATCTCAAGGGTATAAGCCCCTCCCTATGCATGCATAAAATCGATTTAGAAGAGGGTGCTAAGCCGCGTAGGTAACGACAAAGGAAACTTAATCCTTCCATGCAAGAGGTTGTGAGGAAGGAATTTTCCAAGCTACTTGAAGAGGGGATCATCTATCCAATCGCTCATAGTGATTGGGTGTCCCCGGTTCAAGTAGTGCCGAAAAAGGGAGGTATGACGGTAATGGTCAATGATAAGAAACAATTGGTCCCAACTTGGCTTGTTATGGTTGGCGTATGTGTATTGATTACCGCCAATTAAACGCTAATACTTCCAAATCCATTACCGTTTATCGACCAAATGCTTGAGAGGCTTACAAAGCATGCTTTTTATTGCTTTCTTGATGGTTATTCGGGATTCTTCCAAATCCCAATTGACTTAAAAGATCAACAAAAGACCACTTTCACTTGTCCTTACGGTACCTTTGCTTACTGCAGGATGCCTTTTGGTCTTTATAATGCCCCGACTACCTTCCAAAGATGCATGATGTCAATATTCAGTGACATGATCGAGGAAGAAATTGAAGTTTTTATGGATGACTTTTCTGTTGGTGGAGGCACATATGAGAAGTGCCTTATGAATTTATCTCGTTGTTTGGAAAGGTGTGAGAGCGCCAACTTGGTGCTCAATTGGGAGAAATGCCACTTCATGGTAGAAAATGGCATTGTTCTTGGCCATAAAGTTTCCCAAGCGGGCATCGAAGTTGATGGTGCAACGGTTGATGTGATTGAGAAGCTTCCTCCTCCCACAATTGTGAGAGAAGTGAGGTCCTTCCTTGGTCATGTCGGCTTTTACCGCCGCTTCATCAAACATTTCTCTTTGATTGCTAAGCCTCTCACATCTCTTTTGCAACAGGATAAAGATTTTGTGTTTGATGAATTATGCTTGAGTGCTTTTCATAGGTTGAAAGAAGCCCTATGCTCCGCTCCAATTGTCCAAGGACCCGATTGGTCGTTACCGTTTGAGCTAATGTGTGATGCAAGTGACGAGGCTATTGGGTCAATTCTAGGAAAAAGGAAAGACGGTAGGGTACATGTGATATCATATATGTCCAAGACTCTCAACGATGCACAAAAGAACTATACCACAACCGAGAAGGAGTTCCTAGTGGTTGTTCATACTTTTGAGAAGTTTAGGTCCTATCTCATTGGGTCTAGGACTATTGTTTACACTGATCATTCGGCCCTTAGATATTTGATGAGCAAGAAGGATGCAAAACCAAGGTTGTTGAGATTGGTTTTTCTCCTTCAAGACTTTAATTTGGAGTTGAGAGACAAAAAGGGAGCAGAAAATGTGGTAGCCGATCATCTTTCTAGATTGGGGAGAAAAAGAATGATCGAGGATGACCTTCCAATAGAAGATGCTTTGAGAGAAGATGTGTTATATGCTCTTGATACCAAGGAGGATCCTTGGTTTGCTGACATTGTCAACTACCTTGCGTGTAGTGATATACCACCAACCTTCACTCCTCAACAACAATGACGGCTTAAGTATGAAGCAAAGAAATACATTTGGGATGATCCAATATTGTTGAAGAGAGGGGTGGATGGACTTTTGAGAAGATGTGTTCCTAATAAAGAGTTTCAAAGTGTGCTCTCAATGTGCCACTCATCCCCTTGTGGTGGATACATGAGTGCCCAAAAGACCGCCTCTAAGGTCTTGCAATCAATGCTCTTTTGGCCGACTTTGTTCAAGGATGCTTGGTCCTTTGTCAAGACTTGTGATAGATGCTAAAGGACGGGGAACATATCAAGGCGTGATGAGATGCCCCAAAATCCGATTCTTGAGCTAGAAATTTTTGATGTTTGGGCAATTGATTTCATGGGCCCTTTCATCTCATCTCAAGGAAACCGGCACATTCTAGTTGTCGTTGATTATGTTTCCAAGTGGGCAGAAGCCATGAAATCTCCCACCAACGACTCAAAGGTGGTCATCAACATGTTTAAGAAGGTCATCTTCCCAAGATTTGGTATCTCGAAGGCAATTATAAGTGATGGAAGCTCACACTTTAAGCACCATGCATTCAACAAGCTCCTCTCAAAATATTGTGTTTCGCACAAGCGTGGTCTTGCTTACCACCCTCAAACAAGTGGTCAAGCGGAGATCACAAATAGGGAGTTAAAGATCATCTTGGAAAAGACCGTGGCTAGAACAAGGAAGGAATGGTCTAGTAAGCTCATTTATTCATTGTGGGCTTATAGGATCGCCTTCAAGACTCCGATTGGGACAACCCCCTACAAACTTGTGTTTGGGAAGAATTGCCATCTCCCGGTGGTAATGGAGCACAAGGCGCCCTTGGGCCATAAAGCAAATTTTGACCTCAATGCCGCGGGTGAGCAAAGGATGCTAGATCTCCACGAGTTGGAAGATCTTCGAATGAACGCCTATGATAGTGCAAGCCTCTACAAAGCAAGAACCAAGGCATGGCACGACGCTCAAATTTCCAAGAAGGAGTTTGTGGAAGGACAAAAGGTCCTGCTTTACAATTCAAGACTCAAGCTTTATCCAGGAAAATTGAGGTCTAGATGGAGCGGGCCAGTCCAAGTGTCCATAGTCTTTCCATATGGCTCAATCGAGATATTCAATGACAAGTACCCTTCATTCAAAGTGAATGGGCACCGTCTCAAGCCATACTACGAGGGTCAACTAATTGAGAAGCCGGAAAATTTGTCACTCATTGATGTTTTCAAGTCACCATGATTTTTTTGTGAAGGCGTCAAGCTAGTGACGTTAAAGAAGCACTTATAGGAGGCAACCCGGTTTCTAACCTTTTGATTTTATGTCCTTTATCACACTTGAACTAATCCATCTAATACTTTTCTTGATCAATTGTGTTGTAGGTGTGATTGTGTGTGATCGTGTGTGTCTATGAGAAAAGAGAGATAAGAGTTGAAGCAAAATGAAAAATTTTGCGAATTTGTGGTCAAATGCAGACCAAAAACAGAGAGCTAGCGGATTTAGTCGTGACATAAGAGCGATCCGCGTTATCAAAGAGCCAGCGCGATTTAGCCCCACTAATTCTTTGGTCTAATTTTCTCAAATTCCAGAGAGTAGGAGCGATTTTGACGCGCTATGGGAGCGGTCTGCGTCATCAACGAGGAGCGGGCGCGCTTAATTTTGTCGCGGGCACGCCTGTTGTTTGGTCTAAAAATTCTCCCAATCCAGAGAGTGGGAGCGATTGGGTCGCGCCTATGAAGCGGTCCGCGTCTTTAGTCGCGCCTATGAAGCGGTCCGCGTCTTTAGTCGCGCCTATGAAGCGGTCCGCGTCTTCAGTCGCGCCTATGAAGGGGTCCGCATCTTCAATTAGGCGCGGGCGCGCCCTTCTGGGTTCCAAAAAAAAAAACGGCTTGCTTCGTCTCTTAATTCCTCACAAACTCCCTTAACCCTCACAAACATAACCTACCTCCCTCATAACCTTCCTTCCTTTAACCTCGCGGCCGCTCCTCACAACCCACTCTCAAGATCCCGTACATCATCATCTTCTACCATCCTCATCATCGAAGCTTCAATCCTGCGTCAGTCACGAGTCATTCATCATCATCAAGCTTCAATCTTGCACCCAACCGTTCGTTCATCACCAAAAAGCAAATACGCATCACAACACCAACCACAACGAACTTCTTTGCTACTCAAAATCTCCAACAATTCGACACCAAAACTACGATTTTTCGCATAAAGGTCAAGGTATATAAATTCCTTCGTTAGTTATTCTCTTTTGATTAATTTTAAAGCAAAGGTTTTGGTTACCTTATGTTATTATCGGGATTTTGTTGATTATTGTTGAAAATATTGTTGGATTCTGTTGAAACTGTTGTTGGATATATTCGTTATTTTTGTTAGATTATTATTGCTGGTAAACAGGTACATTGTGGTTTTGTGGAAGTTAAGGTTGGAAGTAGTCAGGAGTTGGCTTTGAAAAAGAAGTGAAAACAGAAAAAAAAGGGGTGGGTAGTCATGAGTCTAAGGATTGGGAAAAAGAGAAAAACCGCAAAGTCGGGACAATCGTCCCAAAACCCAGAGTTGGACCAACCCAATACCCTACCCACCTTAAAGTTCTTAAACAAAAGCCACTCCTCCATATACTCTGACATGAATAAAAGAAAGTTGCGACCTTCTAGGCACTACCATCGGGGAGACATGATAAAACTTGGGATAAATGACGACTTGTGGAATCTTTTTGACAACCTTCGACTAGGGTCATTCATAAACTCTTCATTCATGACCTACCAAGAACCCACCTTAGAGTTTTTCTCGTCTTTTCAAGTTGATACACTAGAAGATAATGACTTTCGGATATCTTTCCAACTCTTTAAACAACCAACACACCATGTCACTAGCACAGTTCAACCAAGCCTTGGACTTTCACTCAGATGCCGACCTTCGCTACCCGCTTTATGAGCACTTTGAGGAGTATAGTGAGTACGATTGGTGACATTCCATTTCAGGTAAAAATGAGTTTGATACCAGGAATTCCATAGCCAGTGAGATTTGGCACCCTGCCTTTAGGATCCTACACCGTTTATTAGGGTATTCCACCATTAGTAAATAGGACCTAGGCAAACTAACTAAGGAAGAGGTCCTTTGCCTGTGGATAGCCACAAAGGGAGAGCATGCACGGAGATTGAATTTGGGTTTCCTTTTTATGCAAACTTGCCAAGCCATCTCGAAAGGGAAAAAGTTGGGGGAGATACATTGCGGAGAGATGGTCACTAGATTGGCCACCAAGTTAGGTTACACTGACCTTCTACCTCTATGCACGGCCGTAGGTAGTAGTGGGGATATTTACCTTGACTTGGACCAGCTTCACCGCTCTAATTTTATCATGCCCACGGCAAACCCCAAAGCTTTTAGGTGGTTAGTTAAAGGAGCCCACTATTGTTTCCTCCCTAAGCCTCACTTCACTTCCCTCACACGTTAGTCCTCTAATGTGTGGAGAGTTTTGAGAGATAGCGGGCGAGTGCGAGATGTTGATGGGGATGATGAGGTAGAGTTGGGCAATGAGGAGGAGGTTCAGGAGCAGCGACAGCAGCCGGATATCCAACAACCCACAGGTACAGGTACATTTCAGCTATCTGATATAGCTAGGCAGTTGCAAGTAATTTATGAGTCACAGCAGGGTCACCATCTGCACCAGCATGCCCTCTATGACTCAGCTGTGGATAGAGGAGAGATTTCTCCCCCTGTGAACTACCCTAATTGGCCGCCTCAGCACGACCCTGTTCCTTCTTGGGGGGGGGGGGAGGGGGACAATCTCCCCACCTACCCCTACTGGCAAGGTCCTTCCGAGCCTGGTAGGGAGCTCCGCAGCTTCCTAGAGGACGGACAGTACGATTATCGTGTGCCTGGCGGGTGTGACTTTAGAGGAGACCCTGCATACCCCTACGTGCATCTTGATCACCCGCTCCTCTGTATTCCCAGTCTGAAGACACTCCCTCTGATCCTTTGCCCAGTTGGCAAGAGGATCTTTATAGGGGTCATTATGGTTGGCCGCCGGGCTTTGACGGTGGTTGGGGCCTTTTCGGCCCCCCTAGTGGCTTCTCTTATGACGTGCCGCCACGTCAGCCTAGCTCACCTAGTGAGCCTGACCCTAGTGGCCAGTAAGCTACGTCCCTTGAGTATATCTCTCTCCCCTGCTCTTACATGCTTATTTTGATGAGTTGGAGATATACTCTTGGTAGGGAGTGACTTGGCTGGGATTCTCACTTGCTTGCCTGCTGATCTTTCATTGTTTTACCTGCACCTTTATGCTGCTTATTCTGCAGAGTTGCCTATGATTGCTTTCTTTGGTTGATTTTGCCCCTGTTTACTGATATTGTTGATGAGTTTTTGATGTGATTTTGATGATGATGTTGCTTTGGGGACGCTTCTCTCGGTGTGCTTGATACCGGTGAGTCCGCCCCCGTTTTTCCTGATGATGATGATGAATACTGGTTTTCGCCAGCGTGGCAATTGACAAGTACAGGCATGTGTATATATATTGTTCAATGATTTTTTATGATGATGTTGATTTTTGAGGAAATTAAGAAATTTTGTCAGTGGTAGATTAGTTTGGTGTGAAGCAAAACTAAAAGCCATAAAAAAAATAAAAAAAAAAAATAAAAAAAAAATAAAAAAAAATAAAAAAAAAAACGAACAAGTGAGGGTTGCATTTTATCTTCTGTTTCTCTTCCCTATTTTCTTTCCTTTTCGCCCTCATTTGTGCTAACCCTTTATGTATATACTTTGTCTTTTTCTTTCTTTTTTTCTTTCTTTCTTTAGATACTCACCTCTTTTGGGAAGAGTGCTATCACTTGGATATGCTTGCGAGGCGTCTTTTTGGTGAGATCTTTCCCTGTTCCTTTTTCTCCTATTTCTTTTGGTGTACTTCAGGATAGTTATAGTTTAATGGAAGTTGAATGGTTCGAGGATGTTTGCTATTAACACCTAGTGTGTTTGGGGCAGTTGATGTTGATACCTAACGACGACTTGTTTGTCGATTGGGATATATTTGATTATGCTTGCTTCCTCTTCTATTTCCGCTTTCTCTTTCATTCCACTCCCTTTCCTTGTTCTAAAAAAAAGCTTAATGGATTTGCATTCTTGAATGTCTTTATTCCTAACGATTAAGAGTTTCCGCGTTCTTGGATTGCCATTGGTTGACTATAGGATATGTCTATGCTAAGGTAGTTGTACTAGAACCCAAATTTAACTGTTTGTGGTAAGAAGGTGTTGCTCTCATTAGGGGATTTGAAGCCCTCAAGGTAGTTTTTGTACCCCGATGTGAGCTCTATTGTTCAAGCCTCCAACACTTCTTGTACGAGCGACATATAATCCTCACCAAGGCATGCTTAGATCGAGAACTAGATGTCTAGCTACCTAAGATCGGGACAGAACTACATCTAGGGAGGACAAAAGGCATTTTCATCGGTGACTATCTTTGCTTTTCTAGGCTTAAACTTTCTTTTGTTTCTTCTTGGTAAATTTATTTGCATTTGCCCCTTGCTAGCCATGTTGAGTCTACACCTCTTTGTTCATGAACACGGTCGAACCCCTTGGCTTTTAGTTTCATTTTTCTCCCATAGAATTGTGAAGTTTGAGCCATAAAAGTTTGTTGTGATTTTGGTTCGACAAGTTGAAAGGTGATGATTTGGGATGAAAAGTAAGGTTGTGTTTTTGAATTCTTGTGTTTAATTAAAGCAAATGTAAATTCAAGAAAAAGCCGCCAAAAGTTATAAAAGGCAAGGACAATACAATAAAAGTTGACAAAAGCATTAAAAATATATATATATATATACATATATATATATATGTACATATATATATATATAAGTAATATTTATTCTGCTAAAAGATTGTGATGTAGTGTCTTCCCTAGTTTGAGCATTGGGGACAATGCTCAACTCAAGCTTGAGGGAGAGGTTCTATACATTTTATATATAATTTTGTGAATTTGTGTTAAATAAGCTTGGGGGAGATGTATTTTTGTTTTGAAATTGGTGATATTCTATGTTGTTTTGAGAATTAGCGCCATTCTTTGCTTCACAATTAGGATTTACCACCAAATTTTCATTTTTTTCCTCAACTTTACCTCCTAGCCTACGTTACAACCTTTTTTTTTTTTAATTTTTTAAAGTGCTTTTGACTTGGATTAGTTGAGTCACTAGTCGGTGGAGGGAGCTAGATTTCAAGCATATGGAGAGAGCATGACTTGGTAAGATGTC